AATTCTACATTAAAGGACTTAATCTTCTGAAGTTTGTATTTCAAAATAAAACATTCTAAAACTATAGATCAGTGCAGTAATATAAATTACTTATTGAAAGTTAGCTACACAGCTTCCAATTTCTGTAGATATAATCTGTGTTTCTTACTCCAGCAGAGCCCCCAGCGGGCATCATCTAGTGGGCAGAGGGAATGTGGAGGAAGGATGGTCTGCACCGGATATGTTAAACATTGCTTTGTCTTGATGCACCACAGGCACTGCAAACAAACATACACAGATCCTTTACTCCAACAACCAACAAATCTGAAACTATTTAGGTCAGTTGCACATTCAGCTGCATAACAATCACGCACAGAATGGGAGGGGGAAGTTGGGAAGGGATCAGTTACTCCTTAAACCAGTCCAACAGGTTTGAAGGAAGACAAGCCAGCAGATAAAATACCCCCACCTTAGACGCATGTATTTGTCAACTAGGCAAAAAACAAAACAAAAAAACCACAGCATAGAGCCAGATTTAGATTGTCTGAGCAGGAATCTGGACTCACAGTCACATTTCTTAGACACTCCTCACAGCTCGTTCCATTTTTTCTCTCACACACTGTGGAAAGGGGAAAAAAAAAAGTTTAATTAGTGAAACAGGATTTTACTTTTCAAAGCTTAAACCCTTTTAGATCAAAAGGAGAAGTCAAACCAGCTCTGATATTCCCTTGATTAGCAGAAAACTTTAGAGGGGGATTATATGAGGCCTGTAATTATTCTCAGGGTAATTTTTGTAACCAGTGTTAATCTTCCAGGGACATTTTCTATGGAGACAGCAGAGTAAACAGACTGGCTTCATGAAGGTGTAGCCAGGTATCTATAAAACTAATGTTTTAAAAAAAAACTGATGTCTTTATTAAGCTAAATAAAGCTTAAATGAAACAAATGAATAGATCGGTTTTATTTGGAAGATGGAAAAAAACAAAACCACTGCTTTGTTTTCTTTACAACTTGATTTTGTGAGAAAATTATGGGAAATGTAATTGACTAGATTTAATTGTCTAGAATTTTAATTGAGTAGATTATTAATAATTTTTTTTAATAAAAAACATTTAAAAATATTTCCAAAATATAACTACTGAGGGCATCTAAAGGAATAACAAACAAAAAAAAGAAAAAAAAATCAAAGTGACTGTTCTTAAATTATAGTAAATTTGAGGTTAATCAGTAGGTGGTCGGATGTCTGTGTTCCTACCGTGCTCAGGTGTGGAATCAGCCAGAATTGTTGCCAAACCGGCGATAAGAAGCAGAGCTGGGAGGAAAATCTGCAAACACTTCATCTTCCAGCCGCTTCAACGACGCAGATTATCCACACTTTTCCAACTTTCTGATATGTGTGAGCTTTATATTCCAAAAGATTTCCAACACATTAGAGAAGTCGAGAACGGGCTGGCTGCGCCTGGAAGACAGGAGAAACTAGAAAAGCGGAGAAGGAAACATAACAGCGCTGTGACGCACGGTGACGCAGCGCAGACAAAAGGGAAGGTGGAGTATTTATTCAATAAACACTCAAAGTAAGTCGGTAGGAAAAAAAAAATGGACAAGAATTTAACAGCAATAAAATTAGAGCATAATTATCGAGGAGGAAAATTAACCTATGAATCTTTTTTTTTTTTAAAGAAAAATATACTTAGGCTAATTTATTTTTAGACATGAAACAAAAATAAAAAGTCATAAGCTGTATTTTGTTAATCCTTCTTTACCCAGATTCCTATCCCTTAGCAAAAAGTAGTATACTTGAAGTAAATTCTATTAAGAATACTTAAGTATAAGTTTATAAAGTATGCCGAACAAACGAACTAAAGTAATACTACTTCCAACTAAATTGGGACATTTTTAAGTTTACTAAAGTATACTTTAAGTATACTTTAGTAAACAATAAAGTAAACAATAGTATAGTCAAGTAGACTTGACTATACTATTGTTAAGTATATGAAATATAGTTTAGAATAAGTAAACTCTAAGTGCACTGCCTGATTTTAAGTATGAAATTAGTGTACTTTTAGTAGCTACACTTGAATAAACTGCTTTTTGCTAAGGGATAAAGTCACGTAACCCTAAAAAGCCAATTAGTAGCTAATTAGACTCAATCTGTGTGTAATTAAATTGGCAAAAAAAAATCAAAATGTTCTCTGCAGCAGGTTTTCTATGAGGCTTTAGTCAGTAAATAGCATCACATGAATCAAGGAACACAAAATACAGGCTTGAGAGAAAGATGTGAAGAAGTTTAAGCCAGGAATAAGGAGTAGAATAGTATCCCAACCACTGTTGGTGACCAATCCCAGCTTGGTGTCTTGCAAGGACTTTGCATGTCCTAAAAGTCATTTTGTTTTACCTCGTCATGATGCTGATCACTGCTTGCATTTCCAGCCATGTTTTGATGGCATATGTGACTTACTTTTTTATGACTTTTTTTTTTAATCTACTGAAATTCTAAAATTATTTTAAGTGAGTAAGTTCTTCTTATTCTTGCTTGGGTTCACTCAGTTCTTGGTGTTCAGACAATGGATGGATTCATCAATAATTAGTCACCTTAAAATAGAAATAGTATGGCAAACTTACCAAGATATGAGTGTTAATCTGACAGGGAGAAGAAGGGTTATTAATCAAAAGAATTGCAGAGATTCACAGCTAAGGTGGGAGAATCTATCAACAGGATGCTTAGTTACAAACTCCACAATGAGCAATATGCAGAAGTGTCGGTAAGATTTTAAAGGAAATCTAGTTTGCAGCTCACAACAAGCCCTGTAGTAAACAAGCAGAATATCCTGTTCTCTATCATGGATAGGAAGCCCCTGAGCTGATGAGGTGATTGGAGGAATCTAAATGCACGGTGATACTGAAAGGTTGCTGCAAAAACAATTAGACTGGTCTGCCAGTTCATTTTCAATGAAATTATTTAAATCTGAGAATATTGTTGATTTCAAATGACCAAAGTTCAAACTCAAATTCAACGAAGATTCAGTGGATAGAACAAAAAACAGATCCTTTCTGACTGAGCTTTGCTACTAGTTCATAGGTTTGCAAAACTGTAATTAAAGCGTAAGGATGTTTCACTATTTCCTCCCTTTTTTACAATTATGCAATTATCACTTAAAATCCCAATAAAGTACCCTTTTCCTTAATGAATTGTCTGTTAGCTTCATGTTTTATTAATCAGGAGCACAAACTGCTGCTGTTTGTATCTGGATAAAGATTTTCTACAAGGCTAAAGTATGAGATGTTCTAGTTCTGTACCTAACATGTCATATCAGGTTTTGTCTGCAGAGTAAAAACATTCTGAAACTTCCTCCCCTCTCTTTTTCTTATCTTAAAATTATCCCGAATGAGACTCCAACAAATCAGTTTACAATAATTTATTAAAGCATGATTTTTGTAAAGCCATTTATAAATAAAAAAAAACAACACGCACATCTCTCTCTTTCTTTTTTTCCCCCCGCCAACAAGAACAATGATTGATTCACAGTAATGATGATAATAACCAGAGCAGGATGACGGGCCCAGCTTTGGCCGCCTGCGGCTGACAACAGGAGCCCTTTGATGAAGTTGCCCTCAAAAGACAGATTTGGGATCAGATACTGTTGACATTTAATTCCAGTTCCTTTTAACTCCACAAGCTGGTCACATTTCAGCAGCTGCAGGGTGAAGTTCTCACATTAAATCTGCAATCTTATCAACACAGATCCCCTCAGGTTGCTCCAAATCTATGGCCTATGACATCAAATTGATCAATTTAAGTTACTTGAAACTTGTTTGAGGATTATTTACGTTATTATATCATTTTTTAGGCTAATTAAATGTTAAATGCTTCATTTACTCATTGAAATGGCATGAAATGGGAACTGGAAATTGTAGGAATTCTTAAATTTCTAATAACATATCTTTTTTGTTGCAACCCTTTACACCACGACCCTGAAGTAATAAATATATGTTTAATTTTTTTTGTCTGAAACATCTTGTGTGAAAAGCCTAAGAATAAACATATTTGGGGTCAAAAGCCCTTATTGCCACAGGAGCTAGGTTAGAATATATTAAATAAAAAGCACCAAACATTTGAACCAAATGTTAAGGCTTTGCTTTAGGTGGCTTCACTCACTGAAGGTAACGCTCGTTAGCGATGCATTATAGATTAAACGGACCTCTTCCACGACCTCACAGAGCTAAAGCAGACTCATATCCTCAACATATATCCTCTAAGAGGTGGTTTGTGTTTGAATGGCACCCTGCCGCTCCTACCAATTGGTGCCCCATATCAAAAACCATTACTAATTTCTTTTACTGGTTCAACTCAAATGACTGAGGATTTTAGTTCCCTCCAGACAGACATTACAGTACAATACATAGAGTAATAAATAGGCTCCATACCCTCCCATTAAAATCCCATGCTTTTGTTTCCTTACGCAAACTCACAAATACAACACCATTCCTTGCAAAAAAGTGGTCATATAAATACATCTTATTTTTAAAGACAGCTTCTCTTTTTCTTATTTCCATTTGCTTTAAACCATTTCCATTAGCTTTAAACCATTAATACACTCACCCACACAGCAGCAATTCAGATAGCACATTTAAGGACAGATAATATAGAGGGCTCATACAGTAAATATATAATATTGACAATAAATTTTAAGTTGAAGTGTTCATAACCAGACTGGAAACACTAACTGGAGTATTTACACATGCTTTTCAATAAATTAGAAGATTATCAAAAGGTTAATTTAGTTAATTTATGTATTTCGGTGGTCAAAAGTTATTTTAAGAGTCATTACAGAAGAAGTTTGATGAGCTAAAATTCAGCTTCTCTAAAAATTAGAACATAGGAGCTATTAGGGAACTGTATGTGAGGACCTTAACTGGGGAAGTTCTGAATCCAATCATATTAATGAAAAGTTTTTTGTAAGAAACAAAACCTGCACCACCAACAAGGATAACTGTAGCTTAGCATTGTAAAACAAAGAGCATTAATGAGTTTTGAAAAGATTCACAACATGTGAGAGGCTGGAGAGGCAGCTTTAAGAGCTTATGCTCAACATGGGCTACAACTCCTATGGTTATTAGCAGTGTCTAACCTGGCTAAGAGAAAAAAGATTTGGACTTTTACCCATTATTTAAAGTCCTATTTTTCAGGTGCTGCTGTTGTTGGTTCACTGTACTTTATCAAGTCCAAACTGTGCAGGAGCCTTCAATGAAAATTAAGAACACTTTACAATTGCTCTACATTTACTCTACAATGGCTCTTAATAGGGGCCTAAAATGTGTTTTAACAACTAATAAAGTAGAATAATGCATACCAGTCTTAGAAGCATAATTAGGTTTTTACAACGGAATGACACTAAAATCCAAACAGTTATGTTTTTTCGAACCTACTTTTCTTTTCATTTGCTTGGAAATTATGTGTTGTGTTTTTTTTCCTATGAAGGAAATTTGCACTTCATCTTTATGAAACGTTTCATGGTTTTCTGCTTATTAGAGCTAAATATATTAATAAACTGCTGGTTGTTTAAAATTGAGATTTCCTATGGCAGATATTTAACAAAAATAATAGCATATGGTTGCTAATTGAATTCACAGAGAAACTTGAAAAGAGAAGGCAAGTATGCCTGACCTTTAAAAATAAGCAATTCAGATCATGGTTTTACTTTGCCTGAATCAACAATGCAGACAAGCGGTTGTTTAACCTTTCAGAGAAACTGTTTGTTTTTGTTTTTTACCAAAAAAGTATAATAAAAAACGATCAGAAACTTAAAACAAACATCTAATCCTTTTAATTATATTCTAATTTACTGACGCATGTGTCTTAATTCCAGCAGTGAGCATAAAAAAAAAACCTGGTTGAGCAAATAGGGCTATACAGTATTTTATGGCTCAAGGTAAAGTGGGATTATAACAATGGTGGACTTTTCAAAGACTGTGAAGATATGACCTTGAGAGCAGCCAGAGGGGCTGTAGCCTGTATTTCAGCTCGTTTTTACTCCTCAGTGAGTCACAATAATGTCACAGCTGGTGAATGGTGCACAGCATCAGCATCGTAATCCTTACACATATGGTGGTCATCATATAACACTAATCCATTGCATGTATTTCACATGACAGGCGTCACATTGTGTTAGGTATGGCATCTTTAGGCTTTAGAGTGGAACAGCCATCAAAAACAATAAGAAAAAAAATACTTGCAGTGAGTGCAATTCATATAAAATGATACATTAGTTTAGTTTATGTGTACATATTTGTGACTATACAGATTTATGCAGGCTGTGTTACATCTTCACATATATAGATATTAGTTTCTTTAGGGATCCAACCTTGCACAGACTCCCAATGCCAAGCAGACTCCCTTAAAACAACCTTGGATCTCATAAAAACTCAGAGCCACTTCCTGAAGCCGTGTGTCCCTTGTGGCCACATGGTGGCGCTAAAGAGTGAGCACAATGAGGGACAGTTTCCCCTGAATAATGACAATTAATCAAAACTTTTACTGGAAAGTAATACTGCTGACATTAAAGATAAAATCTTGGAAACAACATCTAAAAAGCAAGCAAGAATAAGAGTAAAACCCTACAGCTTAATGGCAACAGAAATAAGATGCCGTAAGAATAAAAAGAACATGAAGTGAAAGAGAGAGAGAAAAAATCAGAGGAGTGAGTGAACAGCTGGATAAGAGTGAAGGACTTATTTGTGCTTTTTGTTTTGCCTGTAAAAAGGAAAAAAATGGAAGCAGTTTGTGGTGTGCTTGGACTTCTACATACGTTACTACAGTTGGGGTGGGGTGTTTTAAGTGAAAGTCCAAAATAATTGACTATTTCCTCTGTCATGCTCAGAAATTTCTCCCAAGGAGAACTCAGGCCAGAAGAGTCTTTATTTGGCTTCCTTTTCCATGTCTACCTTTTCAGCCTTGGACGGCTTTTTTAAGTTGAATCAACTGTTGGGTTTACTGGCTGCTGCATCCGCCATCATCAAGAACATAATTCTAACATGGCCGATGAAGGGGCCTGTTGCAGCTGGATGGATGAACAGAGGACCGTGGTTTGGTGATCACCTGACCCAGGAACTAGCCACGCTGGTCACGGACATGATGCTACAACGCTTCTTCACCATCATGTTTATGTAAGCCTTCATGATCTTGGTGATCTCCCCAACCTAGAGAGAAAAAACATGGAAGATGGGCAAATTTATCTTAGGAAATGTATTAAAATCTAAGGAAAATTTTCAGAAGAAACTTAAAACATTTGAGTTGAGATGAAAAATGTTTAGCGTCAGCCCCAGTTGGAATAGATGAGGCGTTTTGATTCAAATTTTACCTGTGGAGTCTCGAAATACATCTCCCTTTCATCCACAATGATTTTATAGGTGCATGGCTGAGAAGCTCCAAAGAAGGTGATGTGCTCATACTGGAAGGTCTCCAGTGGTTTGGGTTCACCTCGCTTATACACAGAAACATTGTCAGCACTCACTCCCAGCCACAGATCGTGAGGGAAACCTCCCTCTTTACACTGCCAAGACAAAACATTTTATTTCCCTTATTATCATCATTGTCAGGTCCATGAAGTCCGTTCTCATTTATTTATTTTTTCTCACCTCCACATCAAAGAGAGTGGAGCCATATCCAGGCCACTCCTTGATGATGCTCATGTACTTCAGCATGGCCTGATGCTGCGGCATTCCCTGCAGACGGGCCCACTTCTCCATGATGCTGGTGCGCGTTGCAGACGTCTCCTCCTTCACCCACATTTCCAGCCTCTGCTCCCCTTCCACCTGAAACATTGACAAACTCATCAGTTCTGTCGATATCGAAGAAATATATCGCCAGGCATATTCATAGAAAATAGTATATGAAAAGAAAGGCATATTTTATTGCATAAAATGCAAAAATTTAATTGAATTTCATTTTTGGTATAATCATTCAGCCCGGATACAAATTGTGGTTACTATACCTAGCCCTGTTCAAGAAGAACATTTGCCCCTGTGAGCCTGTAGGCAGAGGTGGTTAGTAACTAGTTACATGTATTCGGTAACATTTACTTGAGTAAGTTGCTTAAACAGTGTAACTTTACATATTTTTCAAAATATTAAATCAGATGGTATGATCAGGAGTATTAAGTCAATCAGTTACTCAGTACATTAGTGGCCTCTTAACCAAATAGTTTGGATGGCTTCCTGTATTTTTACTCAACCATGCATAATGCAATAATTTTGGGCTTTTCTACCCACCTGTGATCATATTTGTTTTCGCCACCAGTTCGACATTACTTGCCTAATAAACAGGATCTTTGTAGAGTCCATGTTTCTGAATGTAATATTTTGGTGAAACATTCAGAGTTTCATTATTAGTGTTATATAAATAATGGCACTGATTAATACTTCTGGATGCTTAGTGAGTTGTTTTATTATTCTTTTACTTTTCTTTCGCTAATTAAAACTGTGTTTCCCATTTTTTGCTAGACTAATCTATTTTTCTTTTCCATTTACCGTGATTTCTTTAAAAAAGTAAGTTTGTGAACAGTCAATATCCTGGTATGCTTTAGGGATGCTTTTAATCCAGGATGACAGAGTCATACCTTCTGCTTCTTCAGTGAACCCGTTTTGCTTTTCCTGAGGGAAGAATCCCTGAAGGTCGGAGTCTTTCGTTTCTCCGTGCTGGACCCTGCCCCCCCCTGTCCTCCAATGGTACCGATCACGTCTCCGATCCCTCCGCTGCCCCTTGACCCAGGTCCGCCCACTGCGGCCGACCCCGGTTTCGTGGATTGCAATATGCGATTCCGTAGGCGTCCGATGGGATACACGCTTCCGAGGCTCCATCCAGCCCGACCCGCCCCATCGCCATGGAGATACTGGAGACGTAAAGCTGCCAGGTGCTGCAAAGTCTCCTCTGAGGCTGGGAAGTGGCCGCTGATTAAAGACTCATGGGCCTGAAACAAACAAGCAAATAAAACAACATTATTATTTGAAAATATGTTAAAAATTAAGTCTTTAATTTTTTTGTCTTTTTTTGTTTGTTTTATTTTCTAGAAGCTTAAACTAACTTAAAAGATGTTTAAACATCAACTGACAAAGCTTAGAGGTTGTCCATTCCGTATTTTTTAAATCCTGCGAATGCAAACATTCAGGAAGCATCATTTAGAAGGAGCCTCAAAATATCCTGATATACAAAAAAAAAATAAATCACTTTTAAACTTTTGCATATCTATCTGTTTAAATTATTTAACACTTCTCTGACTTTGAGCTGCTGAGGCACCATCAAAACATAAGAACTTAAAGCACTTCTGGGACACATTTCTGTTGCTAATTCTGTGTAGGTTTTTTTTTTTTCAAAAGGAATCAATGTTTCTTATCAGAAGGAACAAAATAACTCAAGTACATTGCACAAATGTTGAAATCCTTATTGTATTGTGTTGACATTTTATTGTTTTCTACTCCTTTTATTTGAAAAAACCTAATGAAACCAAGCACATCCAATTGGTACTAGTAGTCAGGGATGTCTGGGTTAGATGAGACAAAAGTGTCATTTCTGGCCTACCCCATGGAGGGAACAAGCTCTAAAAATCCCTTCAAATCGTTACCACCAACCAAGACACGTGATGGTCCAGGCAAGAAAACCTGTCTGAGGCAACCAAAGACTTGAGACTAGGTTGGAAGTTTACCTTCTAGCAGAACAATGCCTTTAAACCTTAGAGCCCAAGCTACAATGAACTAGTTCAGGGAGATGTAGCTACAACGTGACACAACAAGATTAAAGATTAAGTCTTTTATCCCAAGATTTAAATACCTTAGCCCTATGTGATAATAGCTGTGTGATAAAGCATACCTGTTCAAACATGAATGCAAACTCCACTCCCTCTTTGGGCATGCTCTCTACATCCAGGAAGCAGTACAGTTTGAAATACAGTTTCCACTCTCCCTCTTCTTCGTCTTCTTCACTGCCTGCCAATCTGAACAAAAAACGTCGACTGATTGGAAAACTGAAGGAGACAGAATGATGACAACAGAGTGCTGATAACAAAGCATCATTCCAGTGTGATGTTTAAAGACATACCTCTCAAATTTGGCCAGGACATCCGCCACAATCACTCTGCTCTCCAGCGCTCGGTCTGTAAATGTGTTGTGTTCAAACAGAGAAAACAGGTTCTTGCTGTCCTCCATGGCCAGACCTCTGATCAGCTTCTCAACAACCTGCAACAGCAAGAAATATAACGTTTAATCCGTTTTTGTGTTGATGAAAAAAAAATGTCAATCTTGAAGAATCCTAAATTATCTATTTGTTTGCTCTTCAGTTTAATACAGCTGATGATCATACTTCCACACACCTCTCCAGCTGTTGTGTGAGAGTTAATTGAGATCTTGCAGGAGCCTCCTCCATGGCAGTAGACAGTGGTGCTCATCTCCTGTCTCAGCAGCAGGGCTGCGATCTCTTCCTGAGATGGGACAAACTCACGAGTCTTGGTCTTCTTCAGGGATTCACCAATGAAGCTTGCATAACGCTCGATCTCCGTACCAGGATAACGTTCACGAACCCTGAGTCATAAACACACAAACAGTGCGTCCCACACAAGCTTCTTTTTTGGGGGGGAAAACAGAGGCAAAGAGGTCCTGTGTCAAATCCGTACCTTTTAAGGTGGAAGCGGAGATATCTGAGGATGGCTCGACTGGGAAGGAAGGTGCAGCTCATGCAGGTCAGCAGGTGCCAGTGTGCCAGATTGGCTGGGCTGTTAGGTTGAGGCACATGATTGGTCTGCTTGATCACCTGACAATAAACCTTGTAGAGAAAAAAACAAGGGACTTTAATACAGGAATACATCTCGGCACATACTTAATTGTTTTTTTGTTTTTTTTACCAAATTTCCAAATTTGTTCCATCTATTAAACCTTTTCACATTTTGTCACAATTTCACCACAACTACTGTTAAAAAATTTAAAAATGTTCGATAATCAGCACCATGCTATGGATATGATTTTCTTCATCAGGGACAGGAAAGCTATACGCTAACCTGATTAAGGAAAAGTTTTGAGAATAAGGTCTCCAGTGAAAGAAAGTAACATAACTTCCCACTTGATGTGTAGGAGATACAGAAAACATGTAGAAGGTTTTCTGGTCCCATTAGTCCAAAGATGATCTACTTGGTTGACTTTGAGTGCTCCACCCATATGAGGTGGAAGCATCATGCTGCTTTTCTTTGGAAGAAACAGAGAAGCTGATCAGAGCAGCTATGGATGGACCTAAACACAGGCCAATCCTTGATCAAATGCACCGGACACATCAGAAACCTCATCCAATCTGACATAGGTTGACTCATTTTGTGATGAAGAACAGTGATTAAATGTGCACAGCTGGTAGAGATATATATCACCAAAGGGTTGCCGCTTTTTTCTACGTAAGGCTTCCTTTCAGATTAGATCAAATGCTATCATTTGATCCAGATCCATCACATAAAAGACAAATAAAATATTTTAGTGTGAGGTTTTAAAATCACAAAATGTGGAACCTACAAATAATTTTGGGTGTAAGTACTTTTGCAAGACCTGTTACCTCATTTTATGACAAAGACACAAACTTTTTTTTTTGACAAAATGCAGGAGCAGCTGCAGAGATATTTCTCTGCATGTATCAAAGGGGGTGGGCAATCATTAAACTGGGGGTGCTGTAAATTAAAAAAAATTAAAACATATAAAAACACATGTATAGAGTGTAGTGCAATAGCGCAGTCTATAAACTATTATTATCAGTTCCCTGTATTTTGTTTCCCCAGATTCGGGAAAACCTATGAATTCGTCTGCAGCATCTAGTGATGCAGATGTAAGGTTAATAATAAGTTCATTAATAATGAATGTGGAGTAAAAAATAATTAATTAGTTCAATACATGCCCACAAATTACTTAAACTTATATTTCTTTTGTTATATTGTGTAGAAATTAAGCAAAATGTTGTGTCTGAAATAGTTGTGGGAAAACTCTTTTTTTTTTATTTCTAAATATGTCTAAATTCAAGTAGCAGTAATTCATAGAAATCAAAGGTTACATATAAAAGCAAATATATGACTGATTAAGGACATAAATTTGTCATTGAAAGCTCCGCTATGGTTACAACAGATGATTTTTAACCTTGTGGTATTTTTAAGTGAAATCAAAGTTGAGAAAGCTCCCATGAATATTATAAAAGAGGTAGAAATGGAAATGCTTTGAAATTATGGGATTGCAAATTAAATTTGAAATAATGCACACAAAAAAATGGCCAAAGAAATGCATAATAATTGATTTCATTTAATTTTCCTGACCCAAACTTGGGGCTGGACATAATATTTTAAATACTGAAATTAAATACTTAAAAAAAAAAAGGTTTCTTCTATAGAAGAGGTACTACTAATATGGAATATTTCAATGCATTTAAAAGTTTCTTTAAATATTAAAATATTACATTTTGATTGGAACTGGATGTGTTTTTGAGGAAAATATCACAACAACCACATAAAGAGGAATACTGATTTTAAAGAAAAATGTACTATTCCAACTTTTTCTTGGGGGTGCTATGACTTTTCCCAGGGGTAGCTATAGCCCCAGCTAGCTCCCTCCTGATGATGTCACTGGTGAAATGAAAGACTAAAGAAGTACCTCATCCCTGAGAGGACGCAGATCCTGGCAGGTCTGCAGGATGCCCTGAATGATGGGCACCGTGTCTGCCAGTGTCTCCATCTCCTGTAGTGAATTAAAAACTCTCACTGCCTCATCCTGCAGACTAGCATAGCCCTGCTGCCGATGCACTGATGTGGAGAAAAAAGACTTATTGACAGTAGGAATACAATGAAACCTGAGTAATCATGAGCATGCGGGATGTTAAAAATATTTCAGATTGCTCTGTATTATTTTTTTTTTAATGCAAGCAAAAAAAATGATGTCACTCACAGCTGGTGACCTCCCCGTAAGGCAGCGGCAGCAGAGGGGAGTGCAGTGGATGCTGAGTGTATCTGAGGATTGGGTTTCTCCTGTACATCTGCTCCACTATTTCTGGGTTCACACTGTTCTCCTGATGAAACAAAGGATGCTCATTTTAAATACAGATATCAGTTCATCTATTTTTGTTTGCACTCATATAGCGAGTTTGTTTTAACCTTGATATCTCTAATGAGCTGAAGGGTCGGAGTTTCGATCGGGGTTTTGCTTTCTATGACTCCCAGGATTGCGGCCGTCCATCTCATGGCCTCATTCAGCATTTTAGTATATAGGCGATAGCAATGCTTCCTTCCATACACAATTATGTTCCAGTAGCCTGGAATTCAAACATTTCCGGTGAGGACAGAACAAATGAGAACATCTCGAGTGTCCTAAAAACTCTCTGTGTGATCACTGATTAAATATTCCCTTCCTGAAGCTTCCCTTGATTTCCCATTCCTCACCAGTCTCCCTGTGAACCCGTTCATCCGGCTGGATGACAGAGCAGAGGGAGTTTAGGACTAAAGTCCCCATCTTAGAGGAGTTTTTCTCTGAGTTCTTGTAGTAATCCAGAGAGTTGTGGGTCAAAACAAACCAGCGTTTCTTCAGTTTCAGGGACGTGCTCTTAGCATTCGTCTTCATCTCCTTGTGGAGCCAACCTGAGGATGGACAAAGGGAGAAATAGGAGGAAGGGGATGCCTAGATTAAAAATTAATTAAGAATTAACACAGGTTGCTGCTGTAATCCATGTGAGAGGAGTTATGTCACGCCTAAATGGGGATCAGAGCCATGAGAAGAATTGTTAATGCATGATTTTTTTTTATTTAAGCTCCAAATCAAAGGCATAAAAAAAGAAATATTTTAAGTGACTTTGCAAATAAAAAAGGTCAAACTGTGTGAAATCAGAACAATGTCTTCCCCACAAATATAATTAATTCAAATCAAAAGTTAAAGCCTTTTCCCCTAAAGCCTTACCAGAAGTGCTAATAAAGGTTTTTTTTCATCTAATGAAGTTAGATATTGTTTTTGTTTTTATTTTCTAAAACTCTTACCTCTGACAAGGAACTCCTGTCCATCTATCCTGGCATCTCCTTTGGGTTTCTGCAGCAGACTGATCCAGTGATGCATCTCCTCGGGTGTGTCACTGTTGCAGTGGATCACCCGGTTTGCCGTAATGATGACAAACGAATTTGGGCTGTAAATAATTAGAAGGAATACGGTCAAATGAGACAATCTACTGCTGAGCAAGCTCCAAATCCTCATTTTGCATAGTTCCTGCAACACAGTTCAGTAAGACTGAGATGCAGGAAACCTGTTACTGGTGGGCTTTTCTACCCTTCTGGATATTAGTTTCTTGATCAAATCTTTGTTCAGTAATAGACGTTTTTACGGTTTCATTTTTATTTTTTTACTGTTTTTAAATGTTGACAACAATGGGGTCGATGATCATCATGTTTTGATCTTTAGCTTACTTTTGGCTGTGATTTGATCTTGAAAAACACAAATATTAAGTATTGCTGGGAAAAGATACTCCTACAAGGTGTTTTAACGTAGGCTTAAAAATTTCCTTTTTGATAAAGCTTATAGTTAGACTGGCTCAGGTTATTCTGAGCTATCTCTATAGTTATGCTGCTATAGGTTTAGAGTGCTGGAGGACATTTGGACCCCTTTTTCATAATTTTGCTTTATTTTCTATCTCTCTAGCTTCATCTGATCTGTTCTTGTTTTGCTATGACATCATCCTGGAGAAAAATATCAGCTGTTCTGCTGCCATCAACACCTTTTTTTAATAAATGTTCGAGCTTGGCCTGTTTTTGAGTGTAGTCCTGTTTTTTCCTGACTGTGACTGGATGGATGTGCTTGGAGCTCGGCTGCCTGGCTGTGTGTTTCCTGGTTGGGGCCTTCTGTGGAGCTGGTTGAAAGTGGCCTTCTGTATCTCTACTTTTTTGTGTATCTCTGCTTCTGTCTCCTTGAACCCCAGTCAGCTTCAGCAGATGGCCGCTCACACCGAGGCTGATTCTGCTGAAGGTTTCTTCCAGTTAAAAGGGAGTTTTTCCTCTCCACTGTTGCAACTAGCATGCTTGGTGAGAGGGATTGCCTTCAAGTCAATGAGTCGATGCAATTAACTGGTTTTCCTTAGATAGAAAATCAATTTGGCTGTATGATCTGGCTGAATTGTAAAGTGCCTTGAGATGATATCTATTGTGAATTGGCGCAATATAGATAAACTGAAATGAAATTAATGTTTATTCATAGATGAAACAATTGTGAGTAATCCTCTCTCTTGGATGAGAGGCAAAAGAATGTTTGGTCTATAGCGATCCTGTTTTCAGATGTCCTAAACTGTCTAAAGGGAGGATTTATCTGAGAAAATCTGTTTACCCTAGTCCTTTTTAGTCCAGTCCAAGCACTTCCTGCAGAATTTCAGTCTGTTTTTTATTAATTACCGTACCTTGACAGGATTGGTCTTTTCCAGCCCTTGGTGCTTCTCTTTTCTACCCCACAGTTAAGGCAGAATCCCTTTTGTATACTGGCTGTAGCAATATTTATGGCCTGATTGATGTAAAATAAATGGTAAAACTTTTACTTATGTACTACCAGGCTTGGACTGGTAATCTGTGATACCGGTCCTAATTTCAGCGTGCAAAGACCGGCCCTCCTTAAATTATACCGGCCCCAAAACTTGCTCCCCAGCCAAAGCACCTACCTGTGCCAGTAAATAACTCAAGGAGCTCAAGAAGTAATACAATGCAAACTACCTAAATGATGCATGCAGTATATGTAGCCTTTCCTTGTCATGCACATCCTTGTGACGGTTGGCATATGGTTTACTTTCCTATTTCTTTAAACTGTAAAATCTTTGCAACAAACTAAATTATAATAAAACTAAATTGCTTTCTTTAAACCAAACTACGATGTTCCTCTTATATTTGGCAAATTTATGTTTGAATATTTTGCAAAAATATGTTGCAGTGCATGATGGGGTTTTGCATCTATAGGCTACCATTTCCCGTCTTACGTGCAATGTTGCAGGTTGGGATTTTTCCCAATCTGCCATTTCAGGATGGGTAAAAAATGTTTTTCTTCAGATTTATGGCCTAAAAGATCAATAGACTTTGATTCAAATTGCGCAGGATTTTGTATATCCATGCAGTTTATGAAAATGTTTTGGCTGGAAAACGTGAGTCAGTGACATCTGGCATTGGTGATGGTTGTTGTGTGATGCTTGACGATAGATGGCTTAATCCATAATGTATACTCTTGTCGTGTTTCATATTTGAGACGCACGAGTTTGGGGTCCATAAGTGGGCCAGTGTAGATGGAAAAATGCCAGGGCCGAAAATGATTCCCAGTCCAAGCCTACTGCTTTATCAATTTCAAGGACTCTGAAGCATTTTGCACTACACTGACCCACTGGTTATAGTAAGCTGCATTGTAGATACAGCTACAGCAAGAATAAGGGTTTTAGCTGCTACTCACTTTAAAAGACACCATTCTGCTATTCTTATCCAGTACTATTGACTAAGTGATATCTGTTGTCCAGTCTGTGTCAACTTTGTCTTTTAAGCTAGCCATTATATTGTTTAACTTATAATATAAGAACATTTTGTTGGCCTCCTCAGAGTGCTACATGTTTTTTTTTTATTAATTTAATTTTCATAAATTTTGCAATGAGTTGCATCTAAATAACTCTCCAGAGCGGCTTTTAGATCCAAAAAAACCAAAGCAATTAAAATTTCTAAAAGAAATGTTTGTGTCTTAAAACATCTGGCAATGACTGTATGTCCTGTAATCTAAAGATGGTCCTTTTTTAATCGAGAATCGAGTATTATTATTATTGCTTTTTTACAGGGAAGGCAGGAAACATTGTTTCCATAGAAAGTTTGTATATTTGAATTTCTGGTACATTGACCAGATGGACGTACCGATCAGGGTTATCTGATGCACAAACCGAGTCAATCAGGCCTACATCAAGTGTTCCCTGGATAAAAGATGAAGCAGGGAGAAAAACAATAAATGGCACCACAGTAAACATGATCAGATTCAATTATTGGAACACAAAGATTAAGACTTACAACTGCATTTTTAGGATTTGCCTGCTCATGAGACATGTCCAGCAGCTGTTCAGGGGTGCACACTCTCACCTTGCTAAGCACATTAAACCACCCACTACCCAGGCAAAGAAAAAAACATGATTACAAGCTACTAGTTAAAAAAAGAGAATACAATTGTATTTTTCTGCACAAAGCTCTGGGTCACACCTCGCATCTTCTGGCGACTCGGCAAACACTTGGTACGTCCTTTCTTCTGTAACGATGTTCAGAGCGTTCTCTTTTTCATGGTTGTCCACGATCTCCCTGCAGAATCACAAGGAAGGCAGATGTCTGTGATGGTGCAGCTGCTTGAATCCAAGGGTTAAATCGGGGAGGTTAGGGTCATACTTAGCCGCTCGGATGTCAATGGTTCCTTTCAGCTTCTCCTCACTGTCATTCTCATAGTACATCAGCTTGTTGTCTCTTAGAACAAACCAGCGCATCTTCCAGTTTCTTAGCATGAGAAAAGTGACAATTAGAACAACTTCAGACATTTTTGAGATCATTAGGTTGTGCTACAGTCTTTCCGTAGTCATGCATTGCATGGTTTTTTTGTAAGCATGCAGGCTGAGCTCAGTAGTGACTACAACAACCTCCGGGAAAGAGTAGAGAGTCCTCCTCCCTTCTTGTAGAGCCACCCAGACTTCAGGGATTCCTGCTTGGACCGGAACCACATAAATGTCTCATCTTTTAAGACGCACCAGCGCCTCTTCCACGGGATCATCAGACCAGCTATAGAAACACAGCACACATATAGACACAGCAAAGAAAGCTACTTTTCACAACAGGTGTCTCATTTCTAGTGAAATTCAAGAACATTTAATAAAGCCAGGTTATAAAATATGGATTTGAACTGCAGGATTTAAAAAGTTTTTATAAGATTCTGCTTTGACTGCCTTTGGATCAATTGTGTGTGTGCACTGTAATAACGGTTTATATGAGTAAAAAATGCTAGAATCCACATCAAAATTGTTAATAATTCTGTGAAATTACTCTTAAACTGCCAACCCCTGTATAATAACTGATGGATGTTAATCTTATTGTATTCTACTTTATTCAGTATTTATCGATGTGCTTGGAAGATTTAGGTTTAAAAATAATTTGAACTGAGCTAAAAAGTGAGAGACATGCCTCACAAGATTATTAAACAAAGCAATAAAAAAATGATATTTTAAATAAGATGTCAGACTAGCTACGAATCTTATAAATGCAAATGGAATTAATGAAAGCAAATCAATAAGTAAAAAAAAAAAATGTCAGGATAAACTTTAAGGTCAAAAGTGTGATCCGAAAAGCCTCATTCACAAGGCCTCTTCAAGTCTTTTTTGAAGAGCAATGCTCAGCATTCATATTTTGTCAACACAGAGAGAGACAGCATAGTGTTAGACAGAGGTAGGAATTTAGTTATCTTAACTCAATTGTTTTTATAAGTTGAAGTAAAATAAAAAGCTTAATTTAGGTTCAGGTTTAAATTTTGCATTGTAGCTAGATATAGTAGAAGCTCTTAGGTAGGAAAACCTTGGCTAGCCTCTCTCTGTGGAAGTTTGCTTTAATGCCTGTTATTAGATGGAATTTCTCATGGATAGACAGATGTAGTAAATGTTTAGATATTAAAAGAAAAACAGAATTTAGTTCTTTACTTTAGGTTTTTGCTAAGATGGGTTAACCCCATAACTAAGTCCTGTTATTTTAATTGGTTAAAAACAGTAATCTCTGCTTTTTTCATGATTTTATTTTATTAATTATTTGCTTCAATCTCATCTGGGAATGTACAAAAAGACAGACATAAACTAAAGAAGTGAAAAATGAAAAAGATGTCAAGGTGAAACAGACACACCCTTCATGTAGAGGTAACCATGGAAATACGGGGGTCCATTTCCATTGAGCAAAGTCACTCGACCATTCGTCACCTCTTCATCCGTGTCCAACATGCCATCATGTTCATCTTCGCTGTCTGCGTACTGCAACATTACATAGAAAAAGTATGTTTATTAACGGGAACCGGAAACGGTACACAAATATTCAGAATGTAACGCAATGCCAGTTTATCAGACGAGTGACCAAGGAACAGAGTATTCACTGGATAGCTGCTCATACATGTCTGCGTGCACGCATGTGAGGATGCGAGTAAGTGTGTGTCCTCACAGAGTCAGAGCTGCCTCTGTAGGACTCCACGCTGGTGTTGGTGCAGGTCGACTTCCTCGGGTGCTCCTCGTCTGTGACTGTAGCGCTCCCACGATTGCTTCCGGATACCGAGCTGTCGTCACCGGCATTGACAGACCCCTCTTCGTCTTCCTGATCGTAGTCCGACTCTGTATCGGCTGGCATGCTGTAGATAGGCTCCTCTCCGTCCACAAGGCTCTCCACCATGCTCACTTTCCTTTCAGTATCTTGTTTGGTTGCCTCATTTGCCTCTCCCGGGGGCGGTGGCGGAGGTGGTGGGACAGTAGCCCCATCTCCAGGTGGAGGTGGCGGAGGAGGCGGAGGAATTCCAGCAGCAGGTATGCCATCTGCTGGAAGTGGAGGAGGAGGAGGAGGCCCAGGGGGAACTGTTCCTTCTGCAAAGGCAGGTGGAGGAGGAGGGAGATGAACAAATATTTCCTGATCTATGGGAGCATCAGACTCAGCAGGGGGTGGGAAGTCCGGCAGGGGGATGCACTCCTCCTCAGCATGGAACCCTTCATCTACATCCTCTTCTTTAGATGCCCCTGCAGCTGGGCTTGCCCCTTTAGCTGTGTTCACCTCCTCTGCAGGCTTCTCTCCAACTGCTTCCACAGAAGGATCTACACCCCCAAAGTTCAGGAGATCGATCAGCTCCGTCGCCTTCCGGGATGCCTCCTTCTTCATCCGCTTGAGCTCAGCATCCCGACGCAACTGTAGCTCCTGTTTGGAGGACTCACACAGCTGCGACACCTCATCTTCTCGCTTTTTCTGCAAGCGTTCGATCTCTCTCTCCAGCTGCAGGATCTCCTCCATTTGACGAGCTTCATCCTAGAGAGGACATGAACAGAGAAGGATGTGTGTTATTCTGTAACTCAAAATTGCTGCATCAATAAATGGATGGCTTGCAATTTGTTTTTAGTTGTTTTTTCTGTTAAGTGCATTTTGCAAGACAATTTTTATCGATTTCTTTTTTTCCCATATTTTGTAACTCTGAAGACCACACTCAGCAAGTCAGTTTTTGCCCATGCAATTTACCACTCCTTATCTGAATTATTTGAAGCTCAGGCCCTTGCGTGGTGGAAAACTAACACTAACACTGTAAAGAGAATATCCTTCTCATGAATTATGTTTTTTTGCAGCATCACAGTTTTCTTCAGTAGAAGCAAAATAAATACTACCTGCCTTCAAAAGACTAGAGGTTCAGCTTTCACAAGGACAACGGCTACAAACAAAGGGTCTGGTTTGATTTTAGATCATAGCCAAATCAGTTGTTGAAACCAGCTAAAATCCAGAATAAAATCCAATTGAAAATTGAATGTTAAAAATCATGCATATTATTTTCTTTTTCATGCCTTCCTCACCTTCTTTGCTGCTTCTTCATCTTCTTCATGCTTATCCTCCTTGTTTTCCCCCTCACCCAATTTCGTCTCTTCCTCCTCTTTCTTTCTTTGCGCCTCTTCCCTCTTCTTCTTCTCTTCTTTTAATTTTCGAACATGGGCACGGGCCACCTGCCCTCGCCTGTGTTTCTGCAGCACCAGCGCTGCCTTACGCTGTTTGACAAACTGTCTGCGCTGGATGTGCCTCCGCAGGTGTTTCTGCAGAACAACAATGCTGGTGCGAACCTGTTTGAAATGCTTCCTGTAAGAAAAAAAGAGGGGTGATTAGACCAGGTAGGAGCCGTTATCGTCCCTCAATCCTAAATTTAAGATTAGCTTTACTTTGCAGAGAAAGTGAGAAGATGTGCTCTGATTATCATGGCAGCTTGACGCCGGATTTCGTCCCTGTCTTTCTCCAAACGCTGCTCCAAAGATTCCTTCATGAAAACCTACAGGACCAACATGAATTAGATCAAAAAAGTATGTATGTATGATATGTACAACAGAAAAAATAACAATTAATTATTAAGCTTTATTAACCTTTATTCCTCACTGTCAGATAATAAGATCAACCTTTTCCTGTTTAATGCCATCAGGTTTCTTGTTAGAATTAGCTTTTAAACTGGGCTAAATATTTTTTAAATAATATTTTATCTAATTTTTATTAATTTCCTAAGCTGTTACAGAGGGAAACAGTGAATTTCAGTTTTATGCCTTCAAATAATTCCAAGAAAAGCTTTAAATTCATGACTTCCTCGCTCAGGACTTTTCTAAACAAGTATAGAAATCTTGTGTCAACATCTGAGATTGAAGAGAGCAACAAAAGGCAAATTTCTATTTTTGCTCTACTTGTTCTTGCGTCTGGCAAAACTGAAACTATTTAGGTGACCTAAAGAAAAAAAAGTTACGTTTTGTTTTTCTATATACAGGGTATGTTCATAACAGGTTTCAAATATAGCTGTCACAAAAGTTTTTAATTCTTCCAAAACACTTGCCTTGGTCTTTCCCAGCTGCCACTCTTTCTTAGTCTTGTCGTATTTAGTTAACAGATCAGTACTTCTTTTCTTATCATCCCCTGCTGTCGCTACTCTGTCTTTAAAGATGATTTTATACCTAAGAGGAAAAAATACAGTTTGAGACAAAAAATAAAAAAACAACTCAGCAAAATGTTGGAGAGCCACACAAATAGACCACTTTGCAGCAGACAATAGGGAGACATGCCGTGAGAAAAAATCTTTAAACGTTCTGCGAACGGGGAATCCTGCACGACGGATCTTCACCGTCTCCAGCATCCCTGAATATCGCAGCTGGTTCAGAACGATTTCAGGATCAAACACGTTTGGAGTCTACAGGGACAAAGGAAACAGGTTTAACATTTAGTATCTTACAGAGGGAGAATAGAGCGCGGCATTTATGTCAGTTAGAGGAAATATATGCATGACATGAAGAAAGTGACCTTTTCCATGTTGGGTTTAATGCAGCGAATGAAGAACGGATTGGATACACTGAGAGTGGCCATAAGAGCATGAAGGGAGTCCTGAGGAGACAAAGACATTGGTATTGATTTGTTTTTTTATTATGTGAAATATCCTCATGGTAACACATTATCTTAACCTTATTACTGTCACTTTAAAAAGTAAACTATCAAAATAACTAACGTGGCCTAATTTTTCTGGACATAAGAACCTTTACCCTCTAAATCATGTCACAGACTCTGCATCACACTAATAGTGCATATTTATACTATGCTATGAACTTCCATATTAATGCACCATGTCTCTTCTCCCAAACTGTTTACATTTGATCACTGCTGCACTTTATTAAACTGAAATGTTCTGAAAGCTGTACAAAACAAAATTTTGTTTTGTATACACTCTGTGTATACAAAATGGTGAGTTTCCCAAGTCTTATATTCATTATTATTTTAATCTGGCTAGAGGATATGGTTCTTTTGTCATCTGTTTAAAAAAGTGGATGACTCACCCTGAACTGAGAGCTCACTGTGGGTTTACGTCTGGCTGTCCCCATCTTCTCCTCATTGTTTCTGCTGCCGACCTTCTCAAACAAGTCGTAGATGAAGTCCAGCCTGAGAGAAAAGAGGAAGCAAAAAGAAAAGGAAATCATCTAGGATGACGGGAATGTTATGAGTGGCGTCAGCATGGCTTTTTAGAATAAATTATCCTTTTCGAGACACATTTATAGCTTTTAAAAATATAGGCACATGTTCTGAAATACTGAAATACTGCTTTTACTAGATATTTGTTTTAACAGGTAGAGTAAAAATATAAACAGAAACTATATGAGGGAGTAAAATCTTTAAAAGAAATATGTAAAAACTTGATAGTTACAGTCATATTCAATGAATCAGAATATAATATATATATACAGCTTCCAATTGGGGTTGTTTTAATATTTAAAAAAAGAAAAAACCTTTTGAATGCATATTAAGCATATGTAACAATAATCCTATATTTCTGTATTTGAATGATTTTTAAGGAACTGAATAAGTTAATAACAAGGTAATAACTAAGTCTGCCATATTTTCATAAGCTATAAACAGAAAACATCACAATCAACACAAATTAAGCCTTGAAAAATGTCTGTTTGTTTTATGATGAGTTGAGTTACTAAAATGTAAAAAACAAACAAAAAAAAATCTCAATATTATTCATGGTTATTGAATGAGTCTGTATATTTAAAGAGGGATGAGCTTGATTTGATCAAAGCACTCCTTTCATGTTCACAGTTAAACTGAGACAACCTTTACACATCATTGTCTATCTGTAATATGAGGAAATATCATTAGATTAGACCTTGAGTTAGCCCCCAATAACAAATCCTGATGTTCCAGATGTTATATCCATGACTTTGACCAAGTAAAACAGATAACAGTGCCACTGCATTTTAGGTATTTATATTGGAAGTTCCTGCCTATTTCTGTGATTGGCTTGCCAAACTGTAGATATGTTTATAATATGGTGCGTATCATTTTCCTCTCAGCAAAACCATTGCGTTCTTCCCATGGTGCATTGTCATGGTTTTTCCAAAATCATTAATATATGTGAGCATCCTGACTTTATGAATGTTTTTTATTAGTTTTTCAGTGAGAAATTAGGAATATTTTATGTATAATTTATGACATCCATTGTGTTAAATAGGGAAATGAATCTTTTCTACGAAACTGCAGCAATCGTTGCAAAGACAGATATGTTTGGTTTGTGCATTTAAATCCACTACCTGCTGTCCTTGAGCATGTTCAGGATGTCATCCCTAAACGTGTCTCTGTTCTTCTCCAAGATCCCTCTCACATCATAAAGCACCTAATCAAAACACAAACGCCTCTGAAGGTTAAAAAAAAAAAATGTGTTAAATAAAAATGTTGCTGACTCTAAGAGCTGGTTCATAGATCACCTCTCCAGCATAATGTTTGATCCCAAACTGATGATCTGCAACTCTGGGCTTCACATAGTAAGGGTTTGTCTGCAGGACACAGAGAAGGATCATTTTAAACATGAATGAATCAAAGCATTTAAAGATGTGAAGATGCATCAATGGGCTGCATGAAATGACTTACTGAGTGTCTGCTGTGCAACTTCTCCAGCAGAGTGAAATCCGTTCCTTTGGGGAACCTGCTCTCTTCATTCACCAGCGCCAGCAGGCCAAGTTTCTGACAATGAGAAAAATAGATATGAGAAAACATCTCTGTAAAAGAATCAACATAAGCCTATAAGCCATGTGCTCCCAGAAATCCTTTACAGCAGCAACTGTTTGTATTAACAGCAACTTTTATACCTTCTCTATGAGGTCGAGGCACTCTGCATTGTCCATCCAGTCAATGGCATCCCACTGCACACCTTCCCTAAATGAACACATCCGAACCGCCACATATTAGATGAACAGGGGAGTTTTAATGAAGCAGCAGGTTCTTCAGCATCACCTGTTGTAGTCCAGCTGCTCCAGGGAGAAGATGTGCTTGTTAAAGTACGCCTGAAGCTTCTCGTTGGCGTAGTTGATGTTAAACTGCTCAAAACGATTCACCTGCAAATCAACATGAGCTCTAAAATCAATTTATGCTTAAAGAAAAAACAAATATATATAAAATGCACAACATTATGTCAGTATAAACCCAAGCGTAAATACTTTCTTTTCAGATTTTATGCTTATCAAATAGTGCGTATTTGGAAATATTATGTGGCTGTGTATTATTTTAGCATGCATGTTTGGCAGTGCAATTTCAACGGGAAACCTTTAAGACAATTTCTTTATCATGGTTGCAAATCTAGAGACAAACATATGTAAAGTTCTTCTTTCCAAAATAGGTCAAGATCAGTCAGATTAAATAAAAACTCTTGTAAAAGAATTAAGTTTTTAGATCTTGATGATTTTAGGTCTAAAGTTGGACTAAAAGAACAGTGTCCACAAAAGAAACCTTTTGCACTGTGGGCCAAATTCAGAAAGATGAAAATACTATGGGCTCTTTTTTTTCAGTAAGTCGTCTCTTTTTACTCACAATAACAAAAATTAAAAAAAAAATCTTAATGAACTTATGAGGAAAACAACAATTTATTGTAAATCTGTAAAACGGTCTTGGATGTTTGCCTTAGCAACAGAAATGTTGATAGTTTCCTCTTTTTTTTTTTTTCTTAAAATATCTTAGTCTGTTGTTGATAGGGTCTCTTTCTGTTTTTCTGGTGTGAGTGAGCTTCCTGTTACAGAGAGGATCTTTCCTGTAGGCTCGGCAGACCCCTGTTGCAGCACACTTCTGCAAGACTCCACATTGTAGATTAGAAATTAGAGTTGCCATTTTAAATGCAGCAAATAACTTAAAGTAAGTCCAAAATTTAGGCCTAAGTGTATGAGTAATTTATAAAGAAGATAACAAAAATATCTATACACCTATTATTCATTCTCTTTATCCTATAGTTTTAGTGAGCTAGGTCCTCTAATGTCAAGCTTTAGTAGCTCACAATGCAGCAAATGGACTTGTTATTTTCTTGTTAAATAATGCTAAAGCTACTAAATAATATGGGTTTTGACTCAATTCTGAGGCTAAACAGCATTTTGCAGCTCTGTTGCAAAATATGAACAAATGGAGAATGATAAGAGAATGATCTACACAGTAAAATAAGCAACAACAAACCAAAAAACTTGAGTTCAGACCTCAAAATTTTCAAAGCCAAAGATATCAAGGATTCCAATGGATTTGAAATTTTCTTTTCCTTTGATTTTCTGGTTGATCTTGAGGATGATCCAGGAGAAGCACTGGGAATATAATGCCATTGCAACAGAGTCCCTGGAATCAATCGCCTGTAGCAAGGAGGAAAAGGGTAAGGAAAGGTGTGTGAATGTCTGGAGGAGATCAATCAAAAAGGGGGGAGAGAAAATGTAAATAAATATTTGCTGACCTGTTCAATAGTGAGAGGGGAGCAGATTTCTTCTCCTCTCAGAATTATGGATCGCTGAGTCAGGACTTCAGACAGCTGGAAGGCGTCCAGACCCAACAGCTCACTGACATTACTGACCACTGGAAGCAAAAGACAAAATCAGTTTTACAGCTACTTAAACGCTACCATATTATTTCCAAATAATTTTGAATAAACAATAAATAGCCCGACCTTGCTTGGTGGTGATCTGAGCTCCTCCTGCAAGCATGAACTCCATGTTCCCAAGCTGCAAAACGCCTGACAGCAGTTTAAACATATCTCTGATCTCCTCCTCTGTGAACCCTAAAACTTTCAGCGCCTCCTGCATAAAGGACAAAGAAACAGACAATCAAATGTTTTCATAAAATAAGTCAGCAATCAATAATATTCTGATATTTTTGAAAACTGATTTGTGTAAAATAGAGATTAATGTTAGCACGCCCTTGGACTTTCACAATACTTTTTTACCTCCTCTTGCTTGTGGACAATTATTGAACAGCATTAGAACCTAGCAGAAAAAAAGACTGACCATAACACTGTTGTAAAGTTCTTTATCATTTAGGCTCTTATCCTTCAGACACCCTGATTGGCTGAGGTAGTGGAACGATTCAGCAGGCTCCTCCAGGAAGTAGAGGCCTGTTGGAAGAGAAACTTTCAGGGCTGTAGATCAGATTTTCAGAATCATACACAAAATTAGATTCTCATCTCAGTTTATACCAACTGGCCATAACTATAACGTAAAATATCAGTCATACAGTACGCAGCATGAAGGAACATACAAATCTGGTTCACTGATTAAATATCTTAATTTTTACAGTTAGAAACCATCTCAATTGCATATTTTTTTCAGATTTTTCTCTATAAATCTGACATGACAAAATCAACCCTTATACACAAAGAAAAGTTTCAGAAGTTGCAAAAAAATCTCTACACATAAAGCCTGGTAAGAATTTGTAAAACAACCTAAATCCTTATTGCATCTTAATTTGATTTTGAACTTTGAAAGGTCTGGACCTTGAGTGGTCCACTGAAACATGTAAAGATTCATCTTGGACCATGTTTACTCTGTTTGTGGCCGGATGTTTAGATGTGAACCGGCTGTGGAGGGTGGTTAAGGGCCCCTGTATCAGCTCTTCAAGATTCTAGATTTGTATCTTATCTGGGGGGGTCTCTATTTTTTTTTCTTTCCTCCAAGCTCAGGTCCTCTAGAGGGCCTGGGAGCTTGAGAGTTCTGTGCAGTATCTTAGCAGTATCTTTTCTAATGTATTTCCAGGGATCTGCTGTTACCCCTCCTTTGGGGGTCACCGCCCTAAATGCCCCAATAACCACAGGCACTACTGCTGCCTTGACTTTCCAGGTTTTCTCTAGCTCTTCTCGTAGCTCCTGGTATTTCTCTAGTTTCTCATGTTCTTTTCTTCAGATTTTGCAGTCACTTGGTATTGCTAGGTTACTCACAATGGCTTTCCTCTGCTTTTTGTCCACCACAACAATGTCTGTTTGGTATGCCATTACCTTTCGGTCCGTCTGTATCTGGAAGCCCGACAGGATCTTGGCTCGGTCATTCTCTACCATCCTTTGAAGGTGTTTTCCACTTTGACCTTGGAGTTTCCTGCCTATACTTTGCACAGATGTTCCTGTACACTATTCCAGTTACTTGGCTATGGCGCTCCATGTAAGCTTTCCCTGCATGCATCTTACACCCTGCAGTAATGTGCTGGATTGTCTCAGGGGCCTCTTTGCACAGTCTACACCTTGTCAGGTGTGGTAGATCAGGGCGTATATTGCTCTGGTGCTAGTCCTTTGCCTCCTTCTTTACAGCTAGCATACAGTCTCAGGGTGCTGGATTTGGGTTGGCACCCTCCCTGGATTGTTAGGAGCTTTCATGTCTTTACACCTGTGGTCTGTATCTCATCCTTTGGCCAGCTTATTATTCCTGCAGGGTATCTGATTGATGGTAGAGCATAGCTATTTATTGCCCAAGACTTATTCTTGCCATAGAGCAGGCTTCTTAGGACCTGTTTTACTCTTTGGAGATATTTGTCCGTAGCCGCTTTCCTTGTCACCTCTTCGACGTTGCCATTTGCTTATGGGATTCCGAGGTACTTGCAGCTGTCAATGTCTGCTATTGTTCCTTCTGGGAGTGAGACCCCCTTTGCGTTGATTACCTTCCCTCTCTTAGTCACCATCCGGCCACACTTCTCTAGTTCGAAAGACATCCCGATGTCGGTGCTGTAGATCCGGGTAATATGGATCTGTGAGTTGATGTCCTGCTCAATCTTAGCGTACAGCTTGATGTCATCCATGTAGAAGAGGTGACTGAGGATGACCCTGTTCTTGAGTCGGTATTCATAGCCAGTCTTATTGACTATTTGGCTGAGGGAGTTCAGACCTATGCAGAACAGCAGTGGGGACAGCACAATTGCATATTGCACTAACAAACTAAGGTTTATCTTCTGCATCCTCTGACAGGTTTTCCCTCCAAAATTAATCATTCACTCTAAGAATCTTCCATATCTCTGCCACCCCAAAGAACTAACCTACCATCATTATGTTTAACTGTCGTATATAGCTTAGGGTATTGTGTTCTGCTAGCTGTAAGAACAGCTTGCAGAACACAATACAGCTTTGAACAAAGCACGAAAAGTTACATTTGGTTTCATCAAAACAGAGCACTTTCTTCCACTAGCTTTCTGTGCCCCTTAAAACTGAAAACATAATTTCTTTTGCCTATTTGTCTGGCAGTGGCTTTTTAGCTGTTCTTCCCCACTAAGGATAGAAATAAGGAGCACAAAACTTAAGGTTTTCCTTTGAAGGCTCTGCTACTTGAGCCTTAATTGGTTTGGAGTTGCGCCACACTTTGTTGGATGATTGAAAAAAACATTACCTTAAAATGTAATTAATACTTGAGAACTTGTATAACATAGCCCTGCTTTTAACTTCTCCATGACTCTAATAATGTAGATAAGTTAAAAGCCTGGCTGCCCTTTCAGGTCTGCACCTTGATCATCATGATGCTGTTTGTTTAATAATGTTTTCAGTATTTTCGCTGTGAATAAATGAGTTGGATGAATAGGATCTCTTTTTTGATGTTCTATTTGTGAGTAAATGGACCTGAAAAGAAAGACACTAAATACTTGTTAAGATTTAAGATTTACTTTTATCTTCTTTACTGGCTCCTGCCAGCAGGGCATAGAAGATGTGGTAGTTTCTCTCTCCGGGGTTTTGTCGCACCACACGGTTCTACACATAAGAAAGAAAAGGATTCCAAAGCAGCTGTTACCTTTCTGAGGATTTTTAGGACTGAGCTGCATTTTTAAAACTAATTAATTGTTCCGTGAAAAGTAAAACTTGACTGAAGACGTTTAAGGTAAGTTTACCTTTTCCAGTAAATCTGAAAAGTAGAGTCAAAGAAACAACCAGGACTTGTTATTGGTCAACATAAATGTTTTGTCTACACGGCATACAGTAAGGATACAGTCGATGACACAGCCTCCTTGGATGTTGCCGCACTCTGAGAAGTGAAGCTGGATGAACTTCCCAAAACGGCTGGAGTTGTTGTTATAAACAGTCTTTGCATTTCCAAAGGCCTCCATGATGGGACTGAAAATGACCAAAGGATTTATAGTTTTGCGATCATGCAGTTTTGAAATGTATTGGCATAGGTGCTTTTTCTTAATCACTGCATTGTTCAATTAATTGCATCATAACTAAAGAAAACACTGAAACGTCTCCTCAGTGGTTCTAAGAAACTGAATATTAGATTTGTGGGCTTTGAGACCCGAGTTACCCCCACCTCTGGGTTAATATTAACTTGACATAGATCTATAAACAAAACCTTCTCCTTATTTGATCTTTAATCCGTTAACCATCTGAATTATTGATTTTTGCATTTTTTTTAATAGTATTTCTTTTACTGAGCAAATAGAAAATGTTTCAGCTTTAAACCTGTCTGATTCCTTCCATCGATGAAGAAAGAAAACAGGCCATCTTTCATGACAAGGTTTTTCTATAAAATATTAAAATTTGTCATAAAAACCTGGAACCAAAAATGAAAAACTATGCTAAACCCTTAGTTAAAGAGCAAATAGGACAACTTCTTGGAGCAGTTCCTCATATTTATTTCACTATTCTGTAAGATTAGTATTAGGAAATATTGGTCCTCTGTTCATTGCAGTATAACATCAATTTATTGATGTTTGCAAAAATTTATTTCACTTTTATCCCTGGATTTTAAATACATAGATGCGTGAGCTTTGACTGTTTTTCTGTATTTTTTTATCTGTTGGATTGTAGATTTTATTTGCTCTGGGTGGGGAAATATGTCATGTTTCATGACTGTTGGACAAACAGACTTACATATGTCTCCAGAACATTTTGGTAGCTAGACATTTTTACTAACTCACATATTTTTATGTGGACAGAAATCATGATAAGAATAAAACGTAGTTACATAAAAAAGAAACAAAAAATATATCTGAATGTACCATTTATATGGACAAAACTAATTCTGACCATATTCTGACTAAGATAATTGACACATTTTTAGTCCAATCAGGGTTTTATTCCAATTACTTGTGCCCATGTATTATGAATCAAAGCCATGATGATCCTGTTTGCACCAAATTAAGCCCAAACCATCAACTTTCCAACTCTGTGTTTAAGATACTTTAAGAAACCACTTGGGTCAGGGTGTGGCCATTTTTACAATCCAAACCAGAAATAAGAAAATTTAGCTAATAAAAGCTGAATCTTTTAATATTCCATTTTTTTTTTCAAAACAGAAGGAAATTCATAGTTTTAATTCATATTCTAATTTCAAGTTGTCTTTTTACATAATTATCCCCTGGCTGCTGTTTTTTAGAGATGTTTAATTAATTTTCTTTGCTCACTTGATATTTAAAATCTTTGACAATAAAGTTCTTTCAAATACACAAAGAGTCACACAAGAAGTTTTGGAGGAAACCTAAACTTAATGTCTGTGGACTTAATACCTAATCTAATGCCTTTGGTCTCTCCCTTCCTTTGAGTGCTAGCCCTAATCCTAACAGGTCCAGCACAGATTGTATAAATGGGTGTTTCCTACTTCACGTAATAGTGAATAAACAAGTGTGAGATATAGTGCACATTATCAACAGATTAAACTGTAAAGGTTAGAGTTTCATCCTTCATACCTGCTCTGAACAATGGCTTGCTCCACGTGTGTAGTTCTCTCTGACTGCGGAGTCCCAACGGAGTTCTGGCTCATCACTGACAGAAACTGCAGGAGCAGTTTAGTGCTCTCCGTCTTCCCCGCCCCTGATTCACCACTGGAGAACGAACACAAACACAACACAAAATCCAATTATAAAGCCAGTGACCTTCTCTGACATTCCAGTATCTCAGACTGGTCTGGTCATCTAATTGATAGCAAGGCTTGATTGCTTCAAAGATATTTCATTAGCTTCCAGTCCCTCTCCATAACCATCTAACAGATGCTGAGTCTAATTGAAAGCATGATTAGATACTAGATAATGCAGTTAGATCTGAACAATTATCCATAAATCTTCTTGATGCAGCTAAGGCAATATTTTTTTAATGAAAGATGCAACAACACATCTTTGTCTTTAACATAAAATAACTAGAACCACCTCTTGCCTCACTAACACCTATAAGTCTTTGTAGCTAAAGCTCAGCCAGAATGAATGGAGGCCAACTGTGTAAAGCATTTTTCAAGCCTTGCCACAAAATGTCAAGTCTGGTTTGGATTAATGATTTACTTGGGAATCTCTATCCCATATACTTTAATTTAAACCATTTAATTTTGTCTTTGGTTGTACGATTAGGGTATATTATCCTGCTGGTAAATAAACATCGACCCAAGTTTAAATTGAATTAAGTTCATCCATCCATTAATTTTCCATCATGCATATCCCTGCTGGGGTCACAAGGGGTGCTGGTGCTTATCTCCAGCTGTCAATGGGCAAGAGGCGGGTACACCCTGGACAGGTCGCCAGTATATCCCAGGGCTGAATTAAGTTCAATTTAATTTATTTATATATCACCAATTCACAATACGTCATCTCAAGAGCCTTGAGACAATTCAATCAGTTACATTTTTCTTGTTGTATGATTCCTGGTTGAAGACATCTCCCTACCTCTGCCACTTCAAGTCTAACAGTTTGCCTCTGAAAAAACCTTGTCCACTGTCTCGGCTGAAACTACTGAATCCACCACTGTCTACCAGTTCTCCAGCTCTGTGACTCCACCAACCTGGCCTCCCACTCCACAGTATCACCAGACTCATAGCAAACTATGTCTTCTCTATTTATATCCTGCCTCGCTAAGACCGGTTATAACAGCCCTCTCCTTTTCAGAAGCAGCTGAACCTCCAGAGACCCAAACCTGGTCCGTTTCCATTCTCTGTTTTCAAATAAATCTTTAATCTTAGTCGGCCAAATGCTTGTGTGATTCTGTATATGGATCCAGAAGTTACCCCAGAATATAATGATAAACCTCCGTCTACCTCACTTTCAACTGTACAGTGCAGTCAGGGAAATAAGGCTCAAAGAAACTGCAAAAATGCAGATTTGGATCACCAGACAGATGGGATTGATCACTTCAGGTCCATCCTTTACATTGCACTGTGTAAAATAAGACTTGAATACTGAACTGAAACTCCTTCTAAGATCATTTCTACCCAATGTTCTTCACCTAACCTGTTGACCACAGAAAGCTTATAAATATGTAGATACTCATTGCAGAGAGGTGGTGATTGCACTATGCACCTGTTTAGTCTGTGACTTGTATGTGGCGTACCACATTTAGCTGAGCTGCTGTCATTGTCCAGTCCCCTCACTTTGTTATAACAGTATCAATATTGAGAGTTAAAGGAAAACCTTAATATAATGATTTCAAAGGGTGAAGGAATACCTTTGGAAACCTCATTTACCTTAAATTTTGGTCCAACAGCTTTCTGCCTGACCTCATTTCTGCTTTCCTTAGTCTTCATGCTGTTTGTTTACTGAAATTCTATAATTATACAGGGGTAGACACACAATGGTATCTCCGGACTTAAGTGACCTCTAAAGGAAATAGATTGGCCTAAATGTTCGGGGGACAAACAGATATAAAACCTGAAATACATATTTTCCTCCAACTTTACGGTGATGTAATACTTTTCGTTGATCTAACAGATAAAATGACACAAAAACAGGTTTGTAATTGTAGTCTGTCAAAAGTGAAGATGTTAAGGGGTATGAATACTTACAAATAAGACAACCAGAGAGAACTTGAACCATTAACTCACCTTATGAGGACACACTGACTGTCGTGGCGTTTCCAGATGCAGCGGTAACATTCATTGGCCACAGCGAAAATGTGTGGAGGGAGCTCCCCTAAATGGTGCTTGGAGTACAAGTCAACCCTCTCCAGGTCGTACAGACCTGCAATCTGTTTATATGGGTTGACAGCAGCCAGGATGCTTCCAATATTGGTCTATAAATATAAAACAGAATGCTCTCAAACAATTTTCTCAAATCATCCTTATTAATTATTTTAAACCCCCTCAAAAATCTATGGAAAAAGGATAGGCATCAAAGGTATCTAACCAAACACAAAACATTGTTAATAATCAAAGTTGGTTTATATCTTCCTTCACATTCACACAATGTACAACCTTTTTTCTAGTCCATCACAAAACAAAAATCAAAGTTTTGTGGTTTCTAAAAACAATTGACTGTTTTGAGAATAACAGCACCGTCAGGTGACATGGAACATTCTCTCAAAAGGATCTTTTTCATATTAATGTCTTTTTTTTTGTTTAGGAGAGGATGTGTGTGAGAGATCGATGGAAATACATACAAATTGAAAAGCCACCTGTTTGTAGCAGTGGACTTACGTAAATATTATCCTTCTGGTAGCGCTGGTAAAGATTGTGCATGATTGCAGCCTCGTGCAGCTCAGCCAGAGCTGACATGTCCTCCACCCCGTCAATGCTGGACTGATGCATGGCGTACACCCGCTCCCGAGTGACCTCAGCCTGCTGTAGGTAAAGCACCTGCACAAATTTTTATACATCATAACTTTTGAGCGACCAAAAGTCCATTAGTGGCATAATCACTTATTGAAACAGACTAATTACACATATCTTATTTTATTCCTGTTGTCAAACTTACAATGATGACATGATCTAAGGGAAGTCATTTTGTCTTTGGGATGACAATAGATGCAGGCAATGCAATAACTGTTATTTTAGACCTAAATGGTGACAATACAAAGCATTTCTGAGTCAGACCCAAGCCTCCTCTATGCCATCCATCACCATGGCAACAGGATTGCGTAAGAAAAAGTGTGGGTGTGGATATCAGCATGGATAATCGGGGATCCGGGAAGAGACGAAGTGTAGCGGATCTGATGTGGTCGGATGTGACAGGTGAAAACAGCTCGCTGCATATTCAGGTCAGGGATGCACATGATGTTACTATGAATCCCTACATCCAGCCCCTACACACACAAACCTACATTCATAGGTTACGTGTCAATCAGCAACCCTGTGTAGTACACAGCATCAATTCTTTTTTTCCCTGAGCCACCTTTAGCCTGAAAACGGTTAAAACAATTACCCCCAGTACCTGCAAACAATTATGTTGGCTTTTTATGACCTTTATCGGTATAGTTTGCCAACCTTCTAAAGATTGATTGGTCGATTACAGATCAAAATCTACCTTGATCGGTCGGCCCCCTGTTTTTAAGGAAATGAGCTCTCTTCATTAGAGGTGAGGTGCTAATCAAGTTTAGGCTATGGTCAGCAAAAAAAAGGTTGGTGTTAGGGTGAATATTAAAATTCAGCATATATTCAGTTGTTAAATAGAATGGCAGCCAGCACAGAGTCCTAATATGACTAGAAATACAAACTTGTTTGAATGTGCGTCTGGGGGAGGGGTTTATGTGTAATTGCTGGTAAAACAGATGTTGTGAAAGTCTGTTTAGACGGCAGAGGGGCTCGCCTCAGGCTCTCAGACTGTTGGTTGTACGTCTTTTTCTTTCTTATTTTACAGGGCAGAGCTGTGTTATGGGGGTGTTTCTCTCAGAAAGAAAAAAACTGGCATTATCAGTTGCAAACTGTTATGATTAAGATGTTTTTCTATTGTATAAGGATGAAAGATTCTGAAGTCTCGATAATTATCTAAACATCAAAATGATATTTCCTATTGTTGGATAAATACAGAAGAGGGTCTTAGCTATAAAGGAGCAGAGATTCTTCATTCAGCTTTGTTGACCTGACCTTAATTTCTTCTTCCTTTGATGGAAAGAAATGTTATATTTGCTTATGTAAGTTGCAAATAGCACTAATCCACAATAACAGTGCTTAAACATGCCAGGAACAACCTGGGGAACTCTTTTCCTATTATATTCTCAATCCTGAGCAAAGTTTGGTATAAATGGTGGCTCATCAGGGATCAGAATGTTTACCATCCTTAATCTGATTCTTTCTGTAATCAGGTTCAACAAACTTATTTTTCTTTGATTAAAGGAACAGTTTACATTTTTTTTTACGTTTTCAGTAAAGTATTAATAAAAGCTCACTTAGTGTAAAACTAAATATGTTGTAAAGTTGGGGATTGCTAACAATTAAAAAGATTTCTACACGCTTGTGGGGCTTTAAAGCCAACTGATGTGATGAGTTTCGCCTCATAAAGTGGATTGATTGATTCAGTCATACAATGGATGTTTTAGCACAGTGCCAACTGGTTTCTGTAAAAGCATACATATCTCTGTAATATAGCATTCTACACCATCAATTTTGAAATTTTTTATATTGTTCAATTCAGCTGAAAGTGGTTTTTAATAAGATTTGTAAGCATTATTATGAGCTCACTTTGATATCTTCCTAATCCAAGCATGGGACCTACAGTGTACACCTTTCTGCTCAAGATTTTCTCAAACTGAATCTAATCTGGCAGTAATAACTAAAATAAATTAAATTGAGGGAAAATAAAAATAAAACACAGAAAAATAATCCCCAAAAAATTAATTTGCAAACTGCTATGTTGTTCTTTAAAATTCCCAAATACATTGAATAATACATTGTCCTCAAATATATAAAAAAAAAACATTTACAACACAAACAAAATGCTCATCTGCCACCATCTATTGATGAACCAGAAATACATGGGAAACAGAATATTGAACAGTTATTCTCCCGAAGGCTAAAAGCAAAATAAATATACCCCAAATAAAAGTATTTGACCTAAAAAGTGACTTCCCAAAAAACCCATTACCGTAGGCATTGAAATCCCATGGGCCAGTCTGTATCTCTATGGTTTTGTGTGGAAGTGTATTAATCAGTGTCCAATCTGCATGACATTCATGGTTGTATGAGAGACAATATGCACTGACATGCCCTCCTGTCATGGGTTTTGGCAGCACATACAGCAATGTCACTGCTGGATCTTGTTGTTTTAATGTGTGTCTAACTAAGTCGTTGTTGAAGATGGATTTTCCACGCTATCATTTTTTTTATTTTTATGTTTGCATATCATGCCCCCTTGACCCCTGTCTTCTGCTGTTCTCAAATCCTCCCAATAATAGAGATCCCAGTTCCACATTAACAGTCTTATTCCTACATTTCCAAATTATAAACAATATAAATTTCCTGTAATTTCCTTTAATCGTCTTCTGTTCCTTTACTCCCAGACTTTCGGATCTATGTCAGTGTGTGTGTAACATACCGTCTATAAGCCTAATGGCTCAGTCTGGGACCCCAGGCTGTTATTGACCAATCTCTAAAACCATTTGAAATAGAGAATTAAGCAGTCCTTGCAATCCAGAGTAATTTATAGAGCAGATAGCGAGGCAAAGGTTTCACACACAATGAATCAACACATTCAAAGTGGTAAATATGCAGCAAGTTCCATTTTTATTTGGCAAAATGCATTTAAATGTTTTAGATTTGCTTGTGCTTAGTCTTATTTACCAACCCATAATCTTTTTATTGTTTTAGCGTTTCTTTTTTGTTTTAGCGTTTCTTTTAAACATACACACATACTAAAGTTGAACAAACGAGACATATTAAAGGAAGTATATTCCTGAACCAAAAATGAAAGACAGCAAATTTATAGCAAAATTATATAATCCATAACTGTGATGGGGTAAACTCATTTTAGTGTTGTATTAAAATATTTAAAATGCTTTCTAATTTTACACCAATATCTTGGCAGAATGAGAACCAATAACTTTTTTAAAGTTAGCGATCTGAGTTTTTCATAGAAAAATTAATTATTGCTTGTACTGAGGTTAGATAATGGTACCAATTTAGTTGTGATCTGTGGGTCTTCCTATTTTTATGCTGGGTTTATTGATTTAATAATTATTAAATCTATTTAACAATTATTTTAATTATTGCTATAATTATACATTTATTGTTTTGTGTGTAGAATCTTGGTTCCTCTTTTTTGGAATTTCTGTTTTGTCACTCATCTGTGCCAGATCGATACCGGAAAAGGGAGCTTACTTTTTCTGCTTTGGATTCAAACATAAATCTAGTCTTTTTGAGTTTTATGTTTTAGTTACAGATAGTGCTTCCGGTACGGATCGGATAGTGACATGTTGCTCTCCATTATTTACTTCCCTGATTTCCTTTGCACTGACAACATTATCGAAGCTCAGCCAGCTTGATGCCGTCAACAGACGGGGGACAGGGGCCACACAGCTTGCCAGTAGGGGGTTAGACTCGGCTTTTCGGGTCAAATGGGAAAAGAGCCAAAAGCCAATTTTTAGCAGATCAACCCAGTTCTGAAAAACGTGGGTTTTGAGTAGGAAAGCAGCTTAAGTGTTAAAACAATTAAACTGGGTTTATTGCTAAACAGAAGGGAAAGGAGTTGCAGCTATCAGGCATATCCATACACGCAAGCTTGGTAAGTGCTCAGTTTCCACAAAGTATCATCCCCGTCAGTCCGGTTTCAATGGGTTCTCGAGAAGAGAGCATTCAAGACCAGTGAAAAAAAAAAAAAGAAAAGAAATCTCTAGTACCAAAGAGGAAAGCTTTGACCGTCACCTGGTAACACTTTGGTTCTAAGAAAGGCGACTTTGGGCTGTCTTACATATCCACAGAGATATAATTGTAGCGATCTTGGTTCTGTTGGTTTTCTCTAAGTTTTCAGTTTCATGTTTATCCATGTTTTTCTTTCTTTTCTAGCTTGTTAGTGTGTTCTGGATTTATTTAAGTTTCTTAGGTTTTTCTTTGCTTGTCCTCTGTTGCCACCTTGTGTTTTCTTTTCCCTTAGCTTTCTCGTCAGCTCTACTCACACCTACTCCTTAACACCTCATTAGTCCTTCCTTTGTTCAGTCCGCGATAAATACACTCCTTGTGCAGTCCCTCAGTGCTGGTTCCTCATCTTAGCTCGTCTTACCCTGGCTCCTCATGATTGTTTTCACCTGATGGCTCCATGGCTAGAGATATAATAGTGTGTTTTTTTTGTTAGTTTTTGGCTTAATTAAGCAAATGAGATGTTTGACATTCTCTATATTCCATTAAACATTAGATTAATCAATGTCTTGATGATTATATCAACAACTGATTAATCAGATTGATTGCGTTAAGAGCAGAGGAAAATCTAAATAAAGTTGCTTTTTTGATTTTTGACTAAATCAAACAGCCATTTTTCCAAATGGCAAAATTAAACAAAAAGAAAGACATTTCTGAAATACTGAAATAGGATTACCTCAGGGGTAATTGCACCTATGAATATATAGCTTGATATAATTATATGTTCAATGTTAAATCTACAGCTATTTCAGTTATTTAAAAGATCATTTGCATAAGAGAAGTTGAGCTAACTTGACTTTTTTAGACTCTTGACAAAACAGTGACACCAGCCTTCTCATGCACCACACCGTGAGGACATCTGGGCCACATAGGGTCCCACATTCCCTCAGCACTGTCACTGTGCATTTGTGTTAGGTCACACAGGAGTATTGCCACCTCAGCTGACAGCTACCCTTTGCAGACAAAAAAGAACTCCTTTGGGATATCTCAACTGTATTAAGCATGCAGAT